TATTATAAAAACTTTTTAACTTTAAAATTTTATTTTGTTTTTTTTGTTGCCTAGGTTAAAGAAATTAAGAGAGAAAGGGAATATCTAAGTAAGATCAGGCACGAAAACTACACAATCAATACAAAGGCTAAACTCTAGTCCAGGAATGCAATCAGATTTTGTCTTTTGTACCAGCTCTAATCAATTGATTCTGTCCAGATTCCTGTCTTGGTAAACAGTCTCAGGCTATGTGAAAGCATAGCAAGAAAGTGCTGTGACTACTTGGTAATGTCTACAATGATCACAGGATAACCTAGCACCAATTTAACAATGCTAATCTAATTAGAAGTATGGAAAAGTTTCAGTGTGCATTTGAAGCAACCATTCTCCACTTCTAGGAAATTTGCTAAGCAGAGTCATCAACTTATGTGAAATCTGAACTAAAATCTAAAGTGTGATGGATATTTTCTTAGTATTTTAATACATCTGCGTTTACTATGAAATCTAAAAATAAACCACTGAGTTTGCATGTCATGGTAAAGAAAAAAGATTAATAAATGGTACTCTATTCTAAAAATTTTTTCCCTGAAAAATTATTGAGAAAAAAATTGAATGCTTATCTGAATGTAAAATGTAAGGAAACTTGCTAAGGCAGAATGAAGATAATGTCAGTGGTGCCACCTATATAAAATAAAACCTACATATCATGTCAAACTACACATTCCAGCTTGCCACGTAGGTCACTTGCTCTTATTTAAAAAGAGGTATCTCCGAGGTAAGACAGTTAAAAACCTAACACTGTCAGTAAAATAACATACAGGCAAAGAGAAAGTTCTATTCATTCATAACTAAAGAACGGATTCAACCCACTTGTTTTACATATAGAAACACTAAGGTCCAGAAAACAGAAGGAATCTGTCTCTATGTGGTGAGAATAATTTGGAGTCTGAAAATCAATCTGTATGGTCCACAGAGCAATCCAGAAAAGATGAGTAACTCTTCACAGGCTAACTCAACAGCCTAAAATTTCTTCATTATTTAGTCAGCAATGCTTAGTTAAGAGACACCTTCAGGCAGAAGATTTGTATAGCAACTTTTCCTATAACTCTCCTAAACCATGTAATTTAGCCAGTGATATAATGAAGACATTATACAGCGTAACCTCAGAACTAGCCTTGTGACATTTACAGCAAGGGGTCTGTTCTTCCAGCCCTATGTGAGAGCACTTAGCAGGGTGTGCTGCCAGAAAGCCAAGCTCCAACTCCTGTGACTGAATCACTGGCTTTGTACTAAAAAAATTAACTTCTGAAGGTAGCAATTACTAAGTTTAAGCACATTCTGTATTGATGCTTTCGAAAGTCATTGGTCAAGTGATGTCTACTCTGTCTTTATCTACGTTAACAAAATATCTTTTATTAACAGTAAGCTGGTTTTTGCATGAGGCATAGTTTTTAAAAAAAATGTTTTAAAGTTAGAAGATATATGTTTTTACATTAGGACAAATACCTAATGTAAGTGACAGGGGGATGGAGGCAGCAAACCACCATGGCATGTGTATACCTATGTAACAATCCTGCAAGATCTGCATATGTACTACAGAACTTAAAGTATAATAAATAAATAAATAAATTTAAATAAAAGAATATAAATGTCTTTAAAACTAAGTGCTGAATATATTTATTTGTTCTTTGGTTTCTGGTAAACTCAGAACTTTAGAGAACCTTGAATAAACTTTAAACATATATTTTCATACACACACACACACACACACACACACACACACACACACCAGTTTGGTTTCTCAATATGCTTTGCCAAGACCTTGAATTATGTGCTCACTGGGATGAGTTTTTCAACTGGAACTTGCCTTTACATTTTTATGGTATTATAATTTTGTTTTTCTCATTCTTGGCCTCCAATTCTTGCTTAAAGGCTATGTCAACCCCATCAACTGCTGTATCCAACTCCTGCCTCTCTGAGAAGCCAACCTTTCAGAGCCTCTTTGTTGGATTCTTGTCCTAACAGAGGGAAGTTTTCCCTCTTCTGCCTACTAAAATTAACAGTGAGATTCTGAGAATAATTTGCTTTAATTTTGCTTCAATTTGCAATGTAAGTTCAAGATTCCGCAACTTCAGATAATAACAAACTGACTTATCCTATGTCCCCAGTTATTTTTAAATTTAGGGTTAATCACAGGACAGTAGTCATTAATGAAAAACTTTAATCCTCTAATCAAAAAAATTTAGAAAGGAGGAGGCTCCCTTCCATTCCTGTTCTACTTACCCTGTTCCCATGATATGCACAAAAATTATTTTATTAGTTTCATATATATTTTTCCAGGGTTTCTTTATTTAAATAAGTGAAAAACTTGTGTGTGTGTGTGTGTATTCTTATTTTTCTTTTTCACCCAAAAGGTAGAATACCATATGCCCCATTTTCCATGGTGCTTTTTCATTTAACCATTTATCTTGGAGATCTTTTCATTCAATACATAGAAAGCTTCTATTCAAAGTGGTTCTGGGTCAGGAAACTCTGAAGTCTAACATATGAGAGCAGTTTATCAGCACTGATTATTGGGGAGTACCGGGCTCATCCCAGCTGTGAGAACAGCTGCCTGTTTCCACAATGACATGATATTTACTCCCCAGAAACTCTGTCTCAACCCCAGAAAGAGCTGCATCTAGAGACTCGTTTTACACATGATAAAATAAAGCAAGGTGGGAGAGCAGAAGGACTTATCCAAAGTCAGATGGTGGTCAGGCACAGAATTGGAGGTTGTTAGTTTTCTGCATTCTGAGAGCCCTAAATTCTCCCCACTGTACCACTTATGTCACAGAATTTTTTTTTTTTTTTTTTTTTTTTTGAGACAGGCTCTTGCTTTATCAGCCAGACTGAAGTGCAGTGGCACAATCATGGCTCACTGCAGCCTCAACCTCCTAAGCGTAAGTGATCCTCCCACCTCAACCTCCCCAGTAACTAGGATTACAGATGCACCCAACCATGTCTACTAATTTTTTTTCAATTTTTTGTAGAGATGAGTTTTGCCATGTTGCCCAGGCTGGTCTTGAACTCTTGGGCTCAAGCAATCTGCCCACCTCCCCAAGTGCTACCACACCCAGCCCTTTGTCACAAACTTTTAAGGACTTATCACTACCTGCAGAGTAAATGTCAAAGTCTTGTGTCTAGCAAAATAAGGATGTGGTATGATGGGAATGCTAATAGCACTAGCTTAGAACTTAAAAACCTAGGTTCTAGTCCTCTCTGGGTCCCAGTTTACCCATCTATGAAATAAAAGCTTGAACCAGTTGCTCTCTAAGGTCTCTTCTAATGTTTCCAAGGTCTTTGACTTCTGTCTTCTAACCATATTGAAGAGTCTGGTCTTTGCAGCTGTGCCTGTGCTCATGCTGTTAGTTCCACCTACATTTTTCAAGGCCCACTTTGACTTTTCATGGTATTTGCCTGTTCAAAAAAGGCTAAGCACTCTCACCTCAGGACTTGGAATCTGCCCTTCCCTTGACCTAGATTACTCTCCCTCCAAAGGGCTATACAAATTGCTCTCTTAGTTCATTCAATTCAGTGTCTGCTAAAAGAAACTTTATAAAGATACTTTCCCTAAGCAAATTAATTCTTCCAACTTTCTCACATGCAGATTGGCCTCAAGATTTAGAACCATAGAGCATACCACATTCTTGCCCCAAAGCTGGAGAGTGAGGGGTGCTTCTGCTAGTAGAAGCTAGTCTGTTCCAAAGCCCACAGCCTTTGGAGTCAGGCTTGGGTTTAAATCTTGACTCCACTATTCCCCAATAGTATGACATTGGACAAGTTTCTTAGTCTCTCTGAACCTCTCCTTTCACATTAGTAAAATAGGCATAATTAAAACTTTCTTGACTGTTATAAAAACCACATTACATTAAATATATAAAGTGACTAACATAATAGAGATTCAATAATTGTCATTTTCTTGTGCCACTTTTTTTCACAGTCACAAAACACTTATTCAATACTTTTTATTAGAGAAATAGCTCTGTTTCCTATTTTAATGCCATTTTTAGGCCTGCTGGTAGGTAGGTCACAGTTCATTCAAGATGACCTGTACCAGTTCTTTGAAAGAGGTATGATGGGGGGAAAAAATAGCTTCATAAGCTGTCAATCTCCTGCCTTTGGTTCAAGAACAATTTAATAGTCCAACTGCTCTTAAAAATCTCTTTTATTTTAGCTACCACAGATTTATAAAAATCATCACTGTAAGTCTTTATAGTGAATTACCAACACACTTATTCTGAAGAAGTTACTAGCCAGAGGAATCATTAGAAGGGATCTTGATAAGAAATTCTTGCCATAATTCTGATTTGCATTTAGTTTGCGGAATGTTGTGAATTCCAACAATACATTATCAATTTGTCTCCTATATGGGCTTGTTTTAGAGAAAAATTCTTCTCTGGATTTATTTTACTACTCTATTCTGTATTTATTTAGCTAGACATTTGCAGAACATTGGTAAACTACTACATTAGTTGTTCTTTACATGGTTAAGTCACCACACAATGCTAAATATCTCCTGAGGGGGAAAAAAACAAGTTGGGAGTTAAACCAAGATGACAAATGTACACTAAAACAGAGACCTTCTAGCAATGCCTAGTATTTTGTTTAGGATTTGGAGAATTTTATTATTTCAAGATTTTTGTTTCTCAAGGATAGTTTACTACTATTCCTATTTTATAGTTTAGCAGAAATGTAAAAATTCCCTTCTTCTATCCTTCTGGCATGTAAGAAAAGGACACTAGCTGGCAAGCACTATTTTTATGTTGACAGCAGAGCTATTTTGAGTTATCTTAATACTATCCAATGTTTATGCCAAGAAAACACATTAGCATGACATTAGCAATTTAAAGCGTAAACGCTCAGTTTTTGGTCACTTAATAAGCATATTTCTTTTGAACAACACAAAGTCAATCTTTTTATAATAAATAATAATGCAGTTCATCAACATAAGCCATTAAACCATAATTAGAAAGCCCTACCTTTTGTACATCTCCTATGAAATACGCAATGGCCAGGGTGGGCAGAATCATGAAGAGTGCATTGTAATACAGCAGTCCATATTTTCCCAGCTCCTAGGACAGTAAATAATTAGGTGTTTCATTTGCATTTGGTTCTAGCAGATACATAGAACACTGTACAAAATACCACCCAAATTATACATACATACACATACACACACCTTCCCCTACAACATACACAGTAAATGAGTTGTTAGAAGTTTCGCAAACATTAAGAAATAACCTAAACTTTCAGAAGACCAAAAAAAAGCAAACTTACAAAATTTTAAACTTACTTGAAATAAATTCCTCAAGTGCTTAAGATCAGAGAAATAAAAATGACAACTGGCTGCCTTAAAACAGCAAGTAGAAAAAGTTATTTTGAACACACACACACACACACACACACACACACACAGTATCAAAACATCTCCCTGAAGCCATTCTCTTTCCAGAACTGAATCAAGTCACTAAGTACGTCTTGGGCTTTTCAGAAGCATAACACAAGTGTCATTTAAAAGAGATGGATGAGGCTAGACATGGTGGCTCACACCTGTAATTGTAACCCTTTGGGAGGGCGAGGAGGATAGACTGCCTGAGCCCAGGAGTTGGAGACCAGCATGGGTAACATGGTGAAAGACTGTCTCTACAAAAAATACAAAAACAGCTGGGCACGGTGGCCCATGCCTGAGTTAAGTCAGAAGTTTTGCTAACAGTAAGAAATAACCTGTACTTAGTCCCAGCACTTTGGGAGGCTGAGGCAGGTGGATCACCTGAGATTAGGAGTTCAAGACCAGCCTGGCCAACACAGTGAAACTCCATCTCTACAAAAATACAAAAATTAGCCAGGCATGATGGCAGGTGCCTGTAATCCCAGCTACTTGGGAGGTTGAGGAGGAAGAATTGCTTGAACCCGGGAGGTGGAGGTTGCAGTGGGCTTTGATCCCACCATTGCACCCTAGCCTGGGTAACAGAACGAGACTCCGTCTCCCCCAACCACAAAAAAAAAAAAAAACCTAGCCAAGCATGGCGGCACATGCCTGTAAATCCCATCTACTGGGGAGGCTGATGTGGGTGAATCACTTGAGCCTGGGAGATAAAGGCTGTGGTGAGCCAAGATCAAGATCATGCCACTGTACTCCAGCCTGGGTGATAGACCAAGAACCTATATTAAAAAAAAAAAAAATTGCCAGGAATGGTGATGTGCACCTGCAGTCCCAGCTACTCAGGAGACTGTGGTGGGAGCCTGCCTTGAACCCAGGAATCCTAGAGAGGCTTCAGTGAGCTCTGATTGTGCCACTGTATTACTGCTTGGGCAACAGAGCAAGACCCTGGCTCAAAAACAAAACAAACAAAAAGCACAAAGAAAACAAACAAAAAAAGATGGACAGATTCAGACATAGAGACTCAGGCCTAAATCAATACCAATGGACAGCACTTCTAAGTGAAGCATTTTCAAAAATGTGTACATGAAGTACAATGAAGATTAAGATTACTATAAATACAACTCCCAGAACACAGTATGACTCATTGTGCCCTTGGCTAAAGGACAACACACATCTTCAAACACAGGGAGCCTATAAGAACTCTGAGTCCACCTTTGATTCACATACTTCTGGGACATTCAGCAGGAAGGAGCCTCCTGAAAAAGCCAGCCAGGGTTTGAGGGGTGGGAAGGCGGACAGTGAGGGAGTGGTAAGGATGGGGGCATAACACTTGCCTAACTCCTGTGGTTGAAAGATTATGGACTGATGAGAAGAGTCGAATTGCCTTCGCAAAAGCAGCACTGAAAAATTGGAAGTAAATACCCAATTTACTAGCTGATTAGGCTGGGTGCAGTGGCTCATGCCTGCCATCCCAACACTTGGGGAGGCCAAGACAGGCAGATCACCTGAGGTCAGGAATTTGAGACGAGCCTGGCCAACACAGAGAAACACTGTCTCTACTAAAAATACAAAAATTAGCCAGGCATGGCAGCGTACACGTATAATCTGAGAGCTATCTGAGAGGCTCCAGCACAAGAATAACTTGAACCTAGAAGACGGAGGTTGCAATGAGCTGAGACTGTGCCATTGCATTCCAGCCTGGGCAACAGAGTGCGATTCCATCTCAAAAAAAAACTGAAAGAAAACTGGCTGATTAGATGATTAGACTGTAACATAGCTGTACACTGAAACATTACATAGCCACTAAAAATGTTTAATGATGCTGACTGACATAAAAAGGTGTTCAAGAAATGGTACAAGTGAAAAATACAAGTTAGAAAACATATCGTCCCTCTTTTGCTTAAAATTTTAACATACATGTAAGCGTCCACACATACACACACAAACAAAATAAAGGACATCCACCAAAACAGTGCTGCTCACTTGATGACAGCATTAAGGGAGATTTATGTTTTCTCCCTCTCACTTATCCATGTTTGCTACTACTTCCATCATAAACATGCATTATTTTACGTAAGATTTTAAAGTTAAAGAGTTTTTAATTCAATAGCTGCATTCAGGTCTAAAATGCAGCACAAAATCTTGATGCAATATGACTCAAACTCAACGGACCATGATTGTAAATGGTCCCAATATTATGAGTAATAAAACTCCTGACTGGCTGCCCTGCCTATGGAGTAGCCATTCTTTTTCTTTACTTCTAAAAAACAAAAACAAAACAAAACCTATAAAAGCACCTCAGCATGGCCATATTGCCTTATTACCTCTGGGATAAACCAAGTAACTGACTGCTCATGTTCACCACAAGCATCAGTGTAAAGGTGTGCCTCATATGTATGGCAGCAAGAAAAAAGCCATACTGCAACAACTTTTAAGAATGGCGCCCAGTCTGCCAGAGGCATGAGTATTATCCAGGAAGTAGAGGATGTGCATGGAGGCACATATACATACAGATACACATCATGCAGTAACTGACACACAGCAAAAACTTAAATGCCAAAACTTCTGTTTTTCTTTATACATTTAACTGTTTTGAGTATCTTTCTCCCTGCCTTCTTAAAGAAAGTACACTGGCTATAACTAGATTTAGGGCATCATCATAAACATGTATTAATACATCTTATGATACATTGTTATGCATCATAAGTCTGTATTGTGATGTTTACACATTATGTTCTTATTCAGTGTTGCCCTTAAAGCTGTTTAATAGACGCTACATCTTTTTTTCTTTAGTATTTCTGTCTTTTACAATCCGTTTCTCTTGTTAGCTAACCTTTTATACAGCTGGTAAACCTCTCTGCCTTCTAGTTTGTTGCTTCTAAAACATGAGCTATGAAAAGTAATCAATGAACTTAAAAGTTCTAATACAAATAAGTCATAGTCATTTCTAAGTGAGAAACCGAAGGGCTCTCCTAGGAATAAAATATTCAGAAACTTTCTTGACTTTTTCTAGGTTCTAGGATGTACTGTAGATTGTACTATCTAATATGGTAGCCACTAGCATCATGTAGCTATTTCAATTTAATTATAATCATATAAAACTACTGATTTCAGTTTCTCAGTTATTTTCAAGTGCTCAAGAGCCATGCATGGCTAATGACCAGTTAACAGAAAGCAGAAATATAAATTTCCAACATCAGTGAAAATTCTATTGAAGAGTGCTCTCTTAGACAACTGAAGCTGCTGCACAAATAAAATGTCATTAATTGTATCCATTTTCCAAAGCAGCAAATGGGCTGAAGTAAAAGAGTAACAACAATCACTAACTGCTACCTTTTCTCTAGCTACTTTAAAAATACAAAAATTCTTACTAGTAACTTCCATTAAAATGCAATCATCATACAGATTCATCAAAGCAAATAAATGGAGGCTAAGAAATGTATATTTAAAGAAAATGGGTTGGAAACAAATCAACACTGTCCTTGGTTCTTCAAGGCTATTCCAAAAAAACTATATGAAAATAATGAACCTACTGGGATAGACATTCAACCTATACTTCTTTTCTGGAGGAGCAGGCAAAGCCCCTGGCCAAGGCAAGGTCAATTCAATACTAATAGTACTATCAAGCAGGTAGAACACTAGTATTTATTTATTATCTAAGTTTCCAAAAAGAAGCTTAAGTAGTTTCAGAAATAACTCTACATATCATAGAAAAGACTAAAAACTAGGCAGTTAAAGTCATCTGACTGAAGAGAAAATATGGGTAGGAAAATAAGATAAAGCCATCAGTGACAAGATTTAATTATGAAAAAAAAAAAACAGCTGCTCAGGAAAAACTATGGTGACATCTAAGATAAATATCTCATATGGGTCTTCGTATAGAATACATGATATCAAGGACAATTCCTTCAATTAGCAACCCTAGGATATATAAAGCTGAGGTCTATTTAGTTGTTTCTTATAGTCATGTAATCTTATAACATAATGTTGCAAAAGTAATGTGATTCAAATATTCAGCTTTCTGAAAATCTGGCTTGATCTGAAAATAAAATGTAATGTGTCTATATTTAAAGTACATAGTAAACAAACAATATCTGATAAAGCCTAGGCCAGGAAATTCAGTGTTGCCTCTGAGAGAGATACCAATGCTCCCTAAAGTTTCCCATTATTTATAGGGCAAATACACAAAGGCCATCTTTGTTTTGCCTCCCAGGTCCCCCAGAAAGTCCTCTAGAATACAGTCATGAACATTTAAAGACACTTCAGTGAACACTCTTTACTTTTCCTATCCCACAAGAAATCAATATTCATGCAATCCCAGAAAAGCCAGGAATAAAACCTAACTGCTAATTAAATAATTAAAAAATAGTTTCTTATATGAACACCAAAGTATACGAATTCTACCCTCAGAGGGCCACTATGTCTTTCTCATCCTTGGTAAGTACTTTCTTTATTCCCCACGTTTTCTCTGATGAATTGACATTCCCAACATCAGTATACATCTGCTAAAGAAGATTTAGATTGCTACTTACTTTTGAATCTAATTTTTGTTTTACATATGCACCATTTGCTGCTGTCAGGACATCGTTTATCAGAATAAAAACATATCCTTCCAGATCAAATGCCAAGTCAGAACTGCAAAACATAAGCAACACTTTAAGAACAACTTACATTTAAAGAACATGCATTTAATTTTAAATAGGTATGAACTAAAATATTTACAAAAACATATTCTCATCTAGGGAAGTGAATATTAGGCATTTTTATCAGCTACTAGTATTTCTTGATTTCTGGTCAGTTTGTAATTTTACCTCCATAAGGGATTCCTCAGAAATAAGAGGCACTAACATTTAAACACATAATTAGCAACAATCAATCCTGTCATTTAATAGCACACTGCTCTGCATTAAAAGCCAGATGATAACAAGCACCAAATTTATCATTAAGTACTTCTGTGAAGCAAGCAGAAGGCATCAGAGCTCAATTTCATAGCAAGGAAACCAAAAGGACAAGACCATTAACAAATCATTTTCTGAAAGTCTACACAAAATGTAGGACTATGTTGCATAGGTAGTTGGGCCATGGGTGGAATTTCTGATGTATGGATCATGGTTACTGCTGAGATCAAGCTAGTAACAGTGTCTAAGCACACAGCAGGAACTCAAACACTTAAATAATTGCTCAATGAACCTGTGAAGTGTAACTAGGGGGTTTAGAGAAACGGAAAATTTCTGGAACTTAAGAGTACCAGGCACAAGATAACAATTTAGTAAATTAAACAGAATAAATAAAAATCTGAGAAAAGTATGCCTTTAGCATACTTCAGCACCCTAGCTAAAATGGTGGGTCCACAGTCTATGATTCTGCAGAAATACTATATAGGAACCAAGACTTTTAATGAGTTCTATGCCACTGCAATTTTAGGCAGAACTAACGCAGTCTAACAACCCTCTGACTGACTTCAGAGGTCTGAGTTCCCTTCCTCCCAATATCTTTTCCAAGTCAAAGGGTCCAACTAGACAAGACTGGTCCAGATAGCAATTTTCTTCAGAAGTTTCTTGTAGACCTGAGTAAGCACTGAGGAACCCCTGTTGTTTGGTACAATTTTGGATCCCATCAGCTTCAAGGAAATGTTTCAAAGACTAGCAGGGCACCTCCAGAAGAAAGGGAGGAGGCTAGTACAGAATTTTTCTCCAAGGAGGCAATATGACATAGAAGGAAAAGCAGTCAGCTGTATAGCCAATTTCTAGTACCCAATTTTGCCACCCTTTTTTTTAAATGGAATTTTACTTAGAGATTGAACTTATAAAATAGGACTAGACTGATAATATTTTCCTCCACCTATACTATGGGCATGTGATGAAGGTAAATCAATCCAAGAAGTACATTGGAACTCTTGGATGAAAAACATATGTCTGGCAGAATGTGTGGCATTAGCAAATACATATATGCATGCCCTGGGCTGATTAAAATGTTGTAGAAGACTTCTAGCAATCATTATAATTTTTATGGTCTGGGGTTATACATGTTCCCCATGTACTTTAAAACTAAAACTTGAGAAAAATGAAAAAAGCTTTAATAACCTAATAGAATTTCTAAGTTACGGCATTTGTGATATGTCTTGTGTGAGGCCAATTAAAGCAATGTTATCATTCATTATTTGAAAAGGCAAATGTTTCATAGTCATTTTCCTCACCTCACAGAAGAAGAGACATGCTTTTTTTTTCTTCATCAGCATGCAAAATGTCACATGGTTTATAAAAATACACAGGCTCTGAAAAAAGCCACACATTCAAATTTCAGCTCTGCCATTTATTAGCTCTCTGACCTTGAGCAAGATACTGAATTAAGTTTTAGTTTCCTCAACTATAAAATAGGAAAATTATACCCATGCCTCTCGGAGGTGTTACGAAGAATACATAATAAGATGTGTAAAATGCCAAATATATTGTGTGGTACATGGTCTGTGCTCAGTAAAATGATAGTAACAAATTCTAAATACATCAATTTAACTTTCAACAATCCCAAAAATCTTATTTTTGCCTAACTTTATCTTAACAAGGCCAAAAAGATTTAACCTTTTCAAGAGTCTTCTAGATGCTTTTCAAAGACATAATTCCTATTTAGGCTATAGAAAATTGTTATTAATAAGTATTGATAATAATTATTGACAATTCATTGTGCTATTCATAGGCCCACATCTTACCTGGCAGCTACAAAGGCTCCAATAATCATTGCAAATACAGTCATTTTAATACCCCAAGAAAAAGTCTTCCTACAAAATAAAACATTTTAAAATATACATGTGACTTTATTCACACAGACTCATTTTACAACAGAAGCAAAAAATGTAATGTGCTTTCTCAAAATCTATAAACAATCATATTTTACACATTTCTGAGAAACTGGATATTTAAAAGAACCCCTTTGATGAAGTAAAAATTCATTTTTACTTCATTATAATGGTTATATAAGTTACTAGAACCATTTTTAAAATTTTCACCATTTTTTATTAGTGAGTTTTAATTTTTGTAAATCAGAATTTCTTTAAATAGAAAAATGTCACATACACTTGTAGTAAAAGGAGCTAAGACATGAATGCAATTTAAAGCCTATACCTATATTTCTGATCCAGCTTCTCCCAGTGGCAGCAGTAGGTACAGAAATCCTAGAAAGTAAATCTCATGTTTGATAGGTTTTCAACTCCAATTCATGACCTTCCTGACTATCACTCACACAAACTATCAATTCCAGCAGCCAAAAGAGAGGGTTGCTTTAACTTTTCAAAAGTTAAGGTAGAAACAAGACAAATAATTTAATATCCCACATATGCTGAGCGCCTTTTCAATGTAATTTAAAGAACAGATATATTAGAAACTTAGCTCACTTGAGTAAAACTCCCTCAGCAAACATTGTAAACAGGATGGAGAACCTTCTCAGAACTGTAAACATCGGCAGGCTGGAAAACAAAAAGATAATTAGGTAAAATAAAATTTAACAATTTCTTTTAAACTAAGATTTTCCAAATTGGTAGTTAAAATATTGCTATTCTTCCATTATGGAAATGCCATACTGATTTAATTTATGATCAAACCCTTACTTCTTTCTAGACACAATTCCTACTTGAAACGCTTAAAAGAGTTGCTTTTTAAAAACTACTAGAAGTGAGAAACATCAAATTAACTACAAAACTTCATTTTATTCTGCTAATTATGCATATACCCTATGCTGTAAACATGTTAGTTGTTAATTGCAAAAGGCTTCCTTCTCATTTTTTCATTAGTCTGACCTCCCTCCCACTCCCTAGACCACCCAAAAAACATCTATGGAAATCTTATCCCATGAAATGCCTTGACTGTCCTTTTGTGGATGTAACTTTGTCTTCATCTAAACTCCCAGAGCACTTTGCTCGTATTAGTCAAACATACAGCCTCTTGCAATACAGTTATTTCTGAATATATCTTATCTCACTCCAAAGTGCCTTATACTTAGCTGGCAATCAAAGATAGGTATGAATGAATGGCTGGATGACAGGGATTAAAAAAAGGCAAACTATACAAGCAGCACTTTGTAGATGGCCTGCATTTCTCTCCTAGTGGGTAAGAAATGGAAAAGGATGTCCAACCCATGATAAATTTGTCTTCCTTGGAATCTTCAGAGATATCATCTTGGTCATTCTGTCAGATTTCTTGGGTTTAAAAAAAGGAAGAAATAAAAAACACCTCGCCCTGATCCTCAGAAATCTCTCCATTCTGTTTTACAATACCAGGGTTTTAGCTTGTGTGGTAGTGATGAAGCCACTGTATTTCTATTAAATGGTTTCTCTATTTGTGTCGTTTTAATATAATATATATCACAATAAGAGCAAAAGCCAGAAACCGGAAGGTAGACCAGTTGGAAGGAAAGACAGTGTTACCATGGAGTAGAGAGCTATTGCTTCTTTCTGAAAATAAGTATGTTGCCTCTACAGTTATATGCCATGAGTAAGATTTAGTAATATTTTTATTAGGGTTCTATCTGATGTTACTTTGCTATTGTAACTCTAGAAAAATAATAAAAATCTCCGATTACAGCATTTTATAACATTTTAAGACTTCTAACATCAAAATGTTAGAGGGGGAAAAAACCTCCTCTTTCTCTTCTAAGAAAAGAATGTAAACTAAAACCTTTGGCACCACCTTCATTATTTAGTAGTAACGGAAGCTCTCTGGTCTTTTCACGTTTTTCCAGAATCAATAATGTGTTAAATATTTGACATTCAAGTACAATTTTAAGAATACATTATATTAATCTCACTAGTAAAATAAAGTTATCCATACTTCAGTTTCTTTGTGCTGAACAGTCCCGTGATTTGGTTCCCAAAATATAGTAGAGGTAGTGGAAACGTCTAGAAAATTTAAAAAGGGATAACAAAACTCAATAATAAAGACAGCTAAAACAAGGTCCTTTCAAACAGAAACAATTTTGTTTATATGATCAAAATTTTTTCCACTTAAAACATAAGATTAGTTCTCATACACAATTTTGACCCCCAAACACCCAAACAACACCTTATGCTTGGATAAACATTATTATGGCAGAAAGAAAGGGAGGAAGGCAGGCAGAGAAGGCAGAAATATGAATACGATCAACGTGAGACAGAAACATCATTTGCTGTAAATATGATAATGTATTAGAGCCCATGGCTCTAATGTCAGCAGAAAAAGTAAAGGCATTTCATCCTCACTTAGAGTCAAGCAGAGGCAGAAAGAAGAATATAAAATAAACCCAAAGAATAATGAATACAGGATAAATTGGCTAGATCAGATGGGTAGAGAAACTGCAAAACTGTTGTTCTTTCAACAAGTGCCATTAATTAAAAACAGAAGACTATTCGTAGGTTTTTTTTCTCTTAAGTTTAAAGGGATTGCAGGCCTTCTTTGACACCTATTACTACATTTATTCTTTACAGTCATTATAACCATTCTAGACTGGGTGATTTTGAGGCGGCAATTTTTAAATACGCAAGGCACTGATAAAATACATTAATATATAGTGACTTCATTTCATAAAATAAAGTATTGCTTTTTTCTTTTACCTTTCGAGGTACATTTCTGTCAAGGTCAGGAAACTTGACTACTCTGAGCGCCTTTCCCACCCAAAGAACTGCCACTGTGGCCACCATCTGTAAACAGAGAACACAGATTCACTGTTCTACACATAAAGACACACACAGAAGTTCTAAAAACATAAACCACGTAATGGTGAGGATTCCAACTAACCTGGCCAAGTCCAACACATAGTGACGAGGGAAATCTACAAAAAGGGCAAAGAAAAAACAAGGTCAGAACAAACCTAACTTAGCTCCGTGAATTCCATTTGCACATCGGCAACATTAATAAGGCATTCAGATACAAGCCACACCAACGTCTACCCCTAAATCAAATAAAAATCTTGAGAGAAAACTCCCTGCCGGTTGGTTGTCAGGCCACCCCGCTGAAGTTGTAGCCTCGGGCGGCCGCTTGTCGCGTCTTGTCCGAGTCTACAATTTCAGTCGGCTGCCTGCAAAGGATTTCTCAAGGAAGTGAAGATACAGATCTCTCCAACGCTTTCACACACCTTTAAAAGACACACACACAAATCAACCTCTGCCTCTCGGTCCCAGTGACATCAAGGAAATAATTGTTAGCGAGGGTGAGGATGCGCACGTCCCCAGAGACTGTCAGTGGGTGCAGGGGACACAGAAGCCCCGGCCCCCTATCCAGGCTGCGGAGGAGGGAGGCTTCCCTCGCTCTCCTCCCTACTCGGCAGACCTAGGGGCTCAAATGTCACCAAGCGAGTCACTTTGCAGCATCGCTCCAAAAGGCGGGGTTTTCGAGGCGCTGTGCCGAAGGCGCGGGAGGCGAGCCCCGAACGCGCCGGGCCGGCCGGAGCTCCGCGCTGGGAGCAGTCCCCTGCCCCAGGCCCGCGCGCCCAGCCGGCTCCGCCGCCTGGGCAGCGCGGGTCTGCCGCCCGCCCTCCGCAGCTCCCGCCCAACTTTGTTCGGCTTTAACTTTGGCAGTCAAAGTCCAGGAAACCGGCGCCCAGCCACCGCCGCCCGCTCCTCCTCCGCGGCCTCGGCAGCAGCCACCTCGGCCCTACCTGTAATTGGTGAGCACGCTCTTGTTCACCACCACGATCAGGAAGGAGCTCACGCCGTAAAAGCCGGCGGCCAGCAGCTTCAGAAACACGGTCAGCGTTTCGGCCGACGCCATCCCCAGCTCCTCCTCATCTCGGAGTGTGGAGGATTTCGCGGGGGCTTCTCCTTTAACCCGAGCATGCTGACGTCTATGAACTTCCGCCATGGCTGCCGCTACGGCGCGGGCCTGGCGACTGGGCCTAGCGGCGCGGGGGCTTGTAGCGGCGGCTCCCAGGGGACTCCAGGAGTCGGGGACCAAGGACTAGGCCAGTTGCGCGCTCGCCGCCTCGGCTCCCCACTTGGCCGCCGCTGGTCCCCGCCCAGGGGCAGGGACGCCGGGATTCACACCCCTGGAGACTTTGCTCGGGCATTGTGCAACGCAGGGTCAGAGGGTAGGACCGCGCCAGGCTTAGCCTGGGCAGGGGTTTGAGAGAGCCTGAAGAAGGGGAGCGGCAACCCCCAACTCCTACCCCTCCCCCCTGCCCAGCTCGAGGCGGACAACGAGAAGCCAGGGGAACTACAGTAGGACTCTAGAGCGCCGAGCGACAAACCACAAAACGCCGGGTGAGTCGCCCTGCGCCTGCGCACGAGCAAGCGCCTGGTCGCTCCGCGGGGCGCGCACCTGGAGTGGGGGCGTGGGGGGAGGCCGGGTGGCCTAGGGGCTGGAAGGCCATATTCTCCAGATTACTGCCGCAACATAAGTGCAGACTCTCCTCCCCTCTGTTACAGGTGGCCTGCCAAGTAGTTACAGTACACTGCGTCTAGACTAATTTTGAACGCTCTTTTAGTCTGTCTTGGAGGGGATCAAAACCCTTCAAAAGTATCAGATGTGGATCAACAGTAAACACTCAACAAAAATTTAATTCTGCAATGCCTCAAGTTTCTTACACTTTCTGAACCCAGAAAACACCAAACAATACTTCCTTTTCAAATCAAGTTTTATTTGTTGTTTTAAGAAAATGTTGAGGTACCCCAAAAAGTAGCAGGATAATTAAGCAGCTTGGGGATTGGTGAAAGCACAAGGTGTTTGAAGCCTAAAAGACTTCATTTCCAATTGTAGGATTCATAGAAATGACGACACCCCCCACACACTCCTTATTGTGTGTCTTGGACCAGTTAGGTGACCTCCCTGAACCTGATCTCCATGGATGTATAGCTAGCAAAGAGCTAGTTTTCAGTAAATGGTAGTTATTATTGTATAACAGAAGCAAATCATTATGATCAGTTTAAGCAAACAAATGAAATATTGAATTTTAATGGATTAGGAAAGAACTTTCAATTATTTTTCTAAGTACTTGGTCTATATCTTTATAATTTTTTTTTTCTTATTTTTAAATTTTGGTAATCCAGCTATGGTGGTTCACATCTCTAATCCCAGTACTTTGGGAGGCCAAGGCAGATGGAATCCCCGAGCCCAGGAGTTTGAGACCACCCTGGGCAACATAGTGAGACCCTGTTTCTACAAGAAAATGAAAAAATTAGCCGGGTGTGGTGGTGCATGCCTGTGGTCCCAGCTACTCAGGAAGCAGTGGTGGGAGGATGGCTTGCATCCATGAGGTCAAGGCTGCAACGAGCTCTGATCATGCTACTGCACTCCTACTGTAATAGCACAAGACCATCTTAAATAAATTGTGGCAAAATATACATAATATAAAATTTATCATTCTACTCTTTTTGAGTGTGCTCTTGAATGGCATGAAGTGCATTGACATTGTTTTGCAACCATCATCGCTAATCCATCTTCAGAACTTTTTCACCATCCCAATGTGAAACTCTTTCCCCTTTAAACAATCACTCCCTGTTTCCCCACTTCCATCCCTCTCTGCTATTAACCAGTGTTCTTTCTGTCTCTGTGAATTTGACTACTCTAGGTACCTCAGATAAGTGGAATCATGTAGCGTTTGTCTTTTGTGATGAACTTATTTTATTAACATAGTGTCTTCAAGGTTCATCCATGTTGTAGTATGTGTTAGAATGTCCTCTAACATTTATGAAGCTGAATAATATTCAATTATATGTATATAATTGGTTTACATCTTTTGAGTTTCTTTGAGAACACTATGTTCTTCAAATGTTCCTTAAAAACTGGCACACAGGATGAGGTTCTTAACATAGCCTACAAGGTCCTAGGTAATGTGGTTCCTACCCAGATGAATAGTGCATCTCCAGAGACACTATTCACATTTCTCTCCCTAAGCTACAGATAAATCAACAATGTGGGTTCAGGCTTCTGTGTCTTTACTCTCATCAATCCCTCTATCTGGGCTGCTTTTACTCTTCCTCATCTCACCCAGCTCCTGAAAAACTCTTATGTTACCTCTTCTCTGGGCAGCCTTCCTTCACACTGCCCCCCACCTTCCCGCTATGTAATTGACATCTCTCCTTTGTGCCTCTCCTACTGCATCTTTATATACCCCCTTTATAGAGTGTTCATCTGTTCCTGCTGCTATAACAAAGTACCTGAGACTGGATCACGTATAAAAAGTAGAAATTAATTTTCTCACACTTCTGGAGGCTGAGAAGTCCAAGATCAAGGTACCAGCAGGTTCAGTGTCTAGTGAGGCTGCTCTCTACTTCCAAGGTGCCACCTTAACCACTGTGTCCTCCGAAGGTGAAGAACACCATGTCCTCACATAGCAGAAGGGACAGAGGTCAGAAAGGGACAAGCAGTATGTAAAGCCCATTTTGTAAGGCATGACTCCTACTCACAAAGGCAGAACCCTATGACTTAGTCACCTCCTAAAGGCCCTACCTCTTAATAATATCACATTGTTGATTAAGTTTCAACATACAAATTTTCGAGGACACCTACAGACCATATAGCATAGGGGCTCTGTATTACATTTTTACATATCATTCTTTTCTACTAGACAGTTGCTTCTTGAGGACAGGGGCAGGCAAGGATGCCTAACACAGATTAGGTATTTTAGTTGAATGAATCAATTAAAACAAGGAAAATGATTAAATTTCTTCCTTGACTGCTAGCAACAAAAGGAAAAATAACTAAAACATTGTATTTTAAGAAACATCCTTGTAGAAAAAAATTATTATAGAAGTAACAATGCCGCTCGTAATAGAAAGCAAATATATATACATATACAAATTTTTAAAAACATATCTGGAATAGAACCAGAAAAGAACACTAATCCTCAAGCCACACACTGCCACTGACACTTAGTGGTTGTGTGAGCTTAGGCAAATTACCAGATATCACTGTGCTTCAATTTCCTCACCTGTAAACTGGAGATAACAGTAATGCCCACTTCATAGAGTTATGATGAGAATTAAATGAGCTAATGAATGTAAAGTGCTTAGAACATAGTAAATATGAATGTTTTTTATAATTACTATTATCACTAGTATTATTAGGCAATCTTTCTCTTTTCACTTACTATTCCTTGATGGTCTTTCTGTGGCAACACTTAAACTCTCCCTAATTCTTTTCAAAGGCTTTGGAGTATTCCATTAGTTGGATGCATCATCATGTAACCCTACAGACATTTAAGTTTTTTCAGTTTACTAATAATCCTTGTCAATTTAATTGTGTGCGGGTATAAGTTTCTAGAAGTAGAATTGCTTTGTTAAGGCTACTTTTTAATACAAAAATTAATAGAATTGACAAAATTCCAAGTTAACAACCTCCAAAGAGTTTGTACTCATTTTTTATTCCTGCTAACAGTGTATGAAAATGAAACCCTCTTTTATAAACTCAAGAGGGCAGCAATGGAGAACAATGGAAGAGGTGGATAATATTTCAAGTTCTACCCTGTGGAAATGTGAAATGCCAGGTACAAATTTTCACAACCATAAGTTGTAATTATGGAAAATGAAAAGATCCAGGTAAGTACTGTATTTCTCAGCATGATTACTTTATTAATTAACAGATATTTAAGAACTACGACAGGCCACAAACTGTGTTGGATTTTCTCAGCTCCAGTAACGATTTGGTTGCTGTGGACCCTCAGTAAAATGCTATGGAGTTTAATGGAGTCAGTCATTCTCATTAGGTACCCACAAAGTTAAGACAGGCGCCGTCTATCTCCTAGTAGGATTTTTATCTTTCCTATGTTATAGGTACTTAGACTTTTGGTTAAATTTTGGTATTTTAGGTCCTTAGATCTGTTTCCTAAACTCAGTAATATTAATCACAGAATTACATATGAAGTATTTACACATCATTAAGTGAAACTGAATAAATATTGAAATATATCTTAAAAAGTTGTTCAAGATAAGAAAGACTGAATTAAATGTTCTCATTTAGGTACAAGTATACTCGGGAAAGGTCAACTTTGTGGATTGATAAATTTTACATCTTACTAGGTAGAAGTACTAGCAAAAACTCTTCTTCATATTAAATCATGTCTTTTATCAAAGCATTGCCTTTAATATCCTGTCTTTCCATGAGGGAATATTGATTCTGTACACAATTTTTAAAAACATAACTTATATTACTTCTTTTCCCCACATGCTCCCTTTCCCTTGGCCCACTCGCTCCTCTTATAGTAGAATGTATATAGGCCTCTTTTGTTATCCACCTTCATTCCCAGTTTCCTATTTCACGGCCAGCCTACATCTTACCCAGTGACCTGCTGTGTTGCACCACTGGTTACTTTATAGTCAAGGAGCAAAGGTCATACATGTTTCCTATTTGAACAATACTTGAAAAATTCTGAGAGCCAGAGAGCATGGAGCTTCTCTGCAGTGCCTTGTCCTTTTCTTTTTTGGGCTGCGAGGTCAAGTGGTCTTATTGACCACTGCAGATGAGCTTCACAATGTGCTACTCTTGTAATTCATTATATCATTTCATCCTAACCACTCTGAGAGGCAGGTGTTGTGAAACAACATATAAACAGGAAAACAAGGGCTGAGAGGGAGTGTTAGACATACACTGCATCCCACAGCTCTAACTGACTGTGTACAGATTTGGTCCTAGGTCTGTTTAGCATTTATTCTATGTTCCTCCACTGGACACTCCTGTCTCCTTTGGGGCAGATGGACAAGACCTACTTTTACAAGATGTTCTAGCAATGTCAGTGCTGTCTTCAATTACCAAGTTTAATGTTTATTAACCCTATGAAGAAGAATAAGCAGGATAAAGGAACAGTGATGTACTGAATAATCATGACCCATTCACAAATAGCATACTAGTCACCGAGTTAGGCACTGGAAATACAAAGACATTTCAAACTCAATATATTTCCAACTCAACTTGGCATAAATCTCTCCCAAATAAGTTGTTTCTCTGAATCTCCAATTTTAGTGAACTGGCCTCACTATTCACCTATTTGCCATGGTTCTGCTCTCTCTATAATCACCCTGCAAGCGTTCTTTAACCCCACCAAACTAGCTTTACCCTCTACACGGAAGCTGTTCACTGCAAAGTTACCGATGACCTCCATGGCACTAAACCCAATGCACACTCCTAGTCCTCCTGCTTGACCACTCCACAGCATTTACGTTGTCAATATTCTCCCTTCTTTTAGCTGTACTCTCTTCCCTTGACTTCTGGAACTCCACACTCTCTCGGAACCTCTCCTAGTAGACTGCCTTTCCTTCTCATCCTGCTGTGCTGATTCCTCCTCTTCTCACAGAGCTTTAAAGTTTTACTTTCCTCAGGGCTCAGTCTTGGGTCTTCTCTCTTTACTCTATGTATTCTTACTAAATAATCTCATTTCATTCCATGGTTTCAATTGTGATTTTTTGTTTGCCAATGCTTACGAAATTACCTCACTTATGTTCTCTCTAACTTCAAATTAATGTGTCTGACTGCCTCCTGAATATCTTCACTTGGATAACTCTCTGTTATGCTGCTCAACATGCCTGAAACTAATCTCGTTATTATCCCTTTAACTCTGACATTCTGCTTCTCTGTTGTTCTTTACTGTATCTGGTAATGAATCCTGACAGTTGAGATCCTGGCTGTCTTATTTTGCCATCCAAAATACTTACTACTTGGCATTTATCAGACTGAACACCATAATTTAATCAATGTGCTGAACCAGTTTATTTTGTATGAGAATGTTAAGATCATCAAGATTTCTGTGAACTATATTATGGAAAAGAGTAAAAGATTGGATGTCACCTTGAAGCAAGACTGTGATGCTACACTGCTGTCCCTGACATGTAAGACGTAAACTGGTTTAGTTAGACCATATAAATTAATATAGAGAAAAAACATTTGCCCTGTTAATAGCTTGCCATGTTAATAGCTACACACTAGGTGTCAGGAAATGTCATGTTGATTTGCCCTAGTAAAAGCACTACATCTGGAGCATCAAGTACCATTGGAGTAATCACACTCAGTGATTTGCTAAGATTTGTCCTCTGCATTGGACAAACAGGTGACTTAAATGGATATGATAGGATTCATCCATCTTTCAAGCCTTTGATGATGGCACTAATCTCTGCAATTCCTCTAAAGATGTGGTATATCTTTTTATGTACTATCCTGATAGGTAAGGGAAGTTCCAGAGGCTTCATCTTTTTACCATCATGGTCCTTATTCCATGGGTCAAAGAGACACTGTGAGGATTTTGCCAGCTTCCAAGTATATCTATACGCCTAAACATGTGTCTCTTCCAATTACATATTCAAGAACTGGAGAAAAAACTACACAGTGGATATGCAGGTCTACTGAGCACACTGTTTTTCAAAGTTGGGTCTCCAGTTACCACCTGACCCACTTCTATAGTTTAAATGTGTATGTCCTCTCACAAATTCATATATTGAAATTGTCTGGAAAAAATAGAGACAAAACTCTAAGTAAAAAGAGTTTATTTGTGAATAGCATACAAGAAGTAGGACTGTAATTTGGGACATACATACAAACTAGGATGGCCTTCAGTATGTACAGAGAACAAAGTAAAAGGTTAGGATTTTATTGGAGAAAGAAGAGATTTATGCAAGTTGTTTTAAAAGAAAGTTCTTTGGTGCTGGCAGCATCTTACAAAAGCTGGAGAGTTCTGATAGGTGAATGTTAGTAGTCCTCAGGGAGGACATGTAATCTTGGAGTTTCAGTTAGGCCTTTACATTTAGAATTGGATCTGTGAGTATGAGTCAGTGTGTCAGGAAAGTGTTCTTGTGTAAGCAGCTAACTGTCCTCTAGCTGTCCTTGTGCTGCCAGCTGTCTTTGTGTGACTCACATAGTAAACTGTGGTTTGGAGAAAAGTCTTGTGATAGTATGTGTTATCAGGCAAATTGTGTGTGACAGCCCTACCATCGTGGCTTTCCCTAGCTCCATTTTGCTAGGGTTTGACGCAAGTGACTACATTTTGAATCTGACAACATTCACAAAATCCTAACCTCTAAGATGATAGTTTTAAGGAAGTGAGGCCTTTAGGAGGTGATTAGATCATGAGGGTGGAACCTTGATGAATAGAATTGGTACCCTTACAAAAGAGTCTTGAAGGACTACCCCTTCCATCATGTACCGACAGCTAGAAAACCCCACCTGTGAACCAGAAAGCAGGCACTCACCAGACACCAAATCAGCCTGCATCTTGATCTTGGATTTCCCAGCCTTCAACTGTGGGAAATGAAATTTCTATTGTTTGTAAGCTACCCAGTGAATAATACTGCATTATAGGAGCTTGAACAGACTAAGACACTACATAAGCCCCCAGTTTAACCGGTAGACTACAGGGCTGTGAGTGCCCAGGAATTACTATCAGTTGGCCAGTGTTTGATAATCCCCAAAAGGTCTTCCTTTTTGCTGCTACACAGTTACCCTCACCCTAGTAGATGGCTGCATGTTCCTTTGAGGAAGACTTGAAGGAAGATACACAGTATATACTTGTGGCTTTGATATAGGGCCTTCCTCAAAGAGACCTGATCTCTCCTTCAATTCAAGAGGTTCTCATACTATACATGGCTTAGGTCTGGAAACTGAATAAAAGACCTTGACTCTCCATTTCCAAGACTCCGTCGGGGCTTTTTTGTTTTTGTTTTTTGCTGTCAGGTCAGCTTTTTACTGTTACAGAGATTAAGGGCCATTTTAGTAGGTTGTGTAACTCTTTCATTCTTAGGGACATTATAATCAATAGGCTACTGCCTAAAATTCCTATGGGTCAAAACTATGATTACCACTATGTTACTGCTTTTCTTTTTTCATAAATATGCATACCACCTTGTCTTCTGTGGTTAAGTACTACTGCTTGCCTTTGATACTCCAGAACTTCCATCATCTCTATTAAAATGGGAAGCCCATCGCAATAGTGAAAGTTCCCATTATACCTAGCTTACAGAGCACAGCCACAACAGAACATCTCAAGGATGTACACGGTCTATACAAAAGTATGTTTCTCTGCATGTTGGTGATGGGATTTCCTCTGGATTCTCTCAAGGATGTTGTTGAGAGATGGGTGTGTAGATTACACATGATAAATATGCTCCACCATTCCTGTTTCCCTAAGCACTGAAGTCTTTTCCTTCACATAATATAGAAAGTTCTGGTATATCAACCTCATTAAATAGAGGCTGCTGTTGTGCCCAGCTGTCAGTAAATCAACATATTAAATTGTTAGAATGCTTCTACCTGCATCAGCCAACACATTAAATCCAGAACCTCAGTAACTATTACCTTTTTCAATACATTTGGCCCAATCCAGTGTTACAGTTCATCTTCCTTAAGCTCCATTCCTATACATATTCCGTAGGTTGATGGTGATTATCAATTAGAAAAATCTTGTAATTCTTCTAGTTTCCTTTAGATTTCCTCCTAAGTCAAACTTCATGCTTGTTCTTTGGGGTATGTTGCTATGTGACCCTAGTTATGGGTATAGTGGATAGAGTTTTCAAGCAAGAGAAGGCTAATCTCTCAGACACAGGAGGACTAACTGCTC